AGGGATTTTTCTGACTTTATAATTGTACTCCTAGAATTTATATTGTATATGTATTGTTCAAAAAATAGGGATCAAAAGAATCAGCCATATATAATCCTTCGCTATGCTTTGGATAACAATATAATTTCTTTTATTTTTTCTAAAGGTATGAATTTTATAGAATATAGTTGTTATTTGAAAACTTATATTTATAATGATATATTTTTGAATATATTATGTATTATTTTATTTGTAAAATCTAATCAATAGTTAACAAAATACAGTACTTCTTGAACTATACGTTATGTGAGAAGCTCAAATGATTTTTCGACTAGTTATTTAATGAAGCAAATTTCTTCTTGAATTTATAAAATCATGTGTTATAGATTCAGCACTCTTATTTGTTTTCAAAAAATTGTTGCTTTTGGATTTTTTCATATAGAATCTAATTAAAACTTTTTTTATAGCAATTATCACTTGTTTTTTTTTTTTTCAAAAATGCTTACTTTTTTTACTATTTAATCTACAGTATATTGGAAAAATTTTTTAAACAATATACCACAAATGTTTAAAAAATATCGCTATTACATAATAATTTTTTGTGAACACAACCAATATTTAACACTACTATAATTGGTACTCGACACAATACTTATGCATAATACTGTAAATTACCTTCTCTTTTTTTTCTCTTTCTTCTAAAAAATACTTTATTTACTCTCTTTGTTTCTTTATTTTCATATCTCATGAAAAACATGTATATAAATGTTCTAATAATGTAAAAAAGATGGAGGAATTAATACAACACTTAAGAAAAATTCTCTTGAATCATTTAAACTTGCCAAGTCCACATCTACTTTTCATCTTACATCTCTGTCTGAGTGTAACATAATCCAGGATTGAATGAAAATCATTACAAAATGCAGCATTATCTTTCAATAGTGGTCAAACATTATCTTTGCCTTAAGATAGAAGGATGAAAGATTCAGAAATTCTATATATTAATGCTTCAGTAAATATTGTATTCAGAATCTCGCACATAATCTTATGGCTTTCTCCAGCAGTTGATATTCTAGTCACAGCTATATTAATAGAGAGTATAGTTATAAAATCCACCTGTCAAAAGTTTGGAGTCTCAGCAAGTCTTGATATTATACAGGCTGTTAATGTGATTCTTATTACTTTATCAATTTCTGTCTTTTGGGTTGCAATATGAGCACAGGCATCACAAATTCAAAGCAGACTAATGAGCATAGGTGGTGAAATCCCGTTAAAGGATTTAACATTATGGGTTAGTGCAAACTCTTCTCTAGATTTATTTAGAGCATACAAGTCTGGATCATTGAGCTTGTGAATCGTTCATGTGGGATTGTCTGCAACTTTAATAAATGTCAGTTCTCATCTTACCTATACTGTGGGTAACGTTTCACTAGGATCTTGTATTAATACAATCAATACCGTACCAGAGCAAAGTTTTCAACAAGGAATTGTATGTGGTGCTGCATACATTACAGTTTCGCTGTATATACTTGGTAGTCGTTTTGATAGTCTAGCTGCAAGTAAAACTGCCACTAACAAAGAATCTTATAATACATCAGATAGATTCACTATTTATTTGCTGCTTTCTTCTTTTTATGGATCAGGGACCACTGCTATCGAAAGGCATGGGATTATTGGTAGTAAGATAAAATGTTGGCAACAATCCAAAATACCAACTAGTATCTTTATTGATGATGACATGCTTAAGGACAGATTTTTCCACTTAAGGAATGGAAAAGTTATTGTTATTGCGACAATTATGTCATAGGATATCGCTAGTGAACTAACATGAAATGCTGTGCTTTATCAAAATGCGAACAAGACTACATCTAAAGAAAGTATAAATAAATATTATAATGTATGCAATGCCACCATGAAGATATATGACATACTCGCTTATGCATCATCTAGCAATGAGTGGCAAAAATTGAAAATGCTCAAGGATTTAGATCTGTGATTCATGTTTATTGAAGGTGATCTTACGAGTGGTAGCTTGCATCCATCTTGGCTAGTTTGTAAAAATTGCGATTATATTGGAACTAAGAATGGTAATTTTACAATGGCTCTAGCATTCGGTAGTAAAGTAAGTATACTGCTTTCATTACCTGGAAATTATGCAAACATTGGAGTCGATGGAAAAAGATATTCAATACCATCTGATGTCTGGCTTGGTCATAATTATTCAAGATTTTTCAATGATTCTAGAGACTTTCCACGAGTAGTCGACAATTTTCGAAACAGGTTTATAGTTGCACTAAGTGAAATTAATAAAGTATCAGATGGTATGAGTATATACCTGAAGGTTAAGGAGATGTACGTCTGTGTTGTTAATCAATGGCTCGTGGTTTATTTGCTCTTGGCATTATCTGGATCAATTGGATTAATTGGATGTTACTATATTCTTATCATGAAATCAAAGTTAATTAATATTGGACCAAAGAGTTTGTTAGCTCTAGGAATGACGAATGAGACAAAACAGATATTACATAGTATTGGAGAATTCAGTGAGACAAATATGTCTACTTTTAATAAAGATAAAATATGCATTATAAACCTTGATAACCAGACTCCAACTCTTAGCATTACTCATAAAGAGCCAACGAATTGATTTATAGTGCATGAGATCTCACAATAAAAAACAACTTTACATAACACAAGCAAATGGTTATTTGTTATTATATCAATACTTAAATATAGAATTAAATCTCGATTTCAATTGGCAATTACAAGTCGAAAGACTAGAATATAATAAATAGTAACTCAGGAATGCGACAATCTGATATTGCTGAGATTTCTATGTCCTACATGTTTTAATTCTGATAATGATGTTGATGGGAATCAATGAGGTCTTTAGCCCTATTACTTCTCGAATCTCATATCGCATTCTATTATTTTCTTTCACTGATGATTATGTCAGGAAAATTTATTTAATTCTTTCTAAACTATAAACTGCTTGAGTATCTGAAGCTAGTGATAGATAGATATTGCATAATTCTAAAATTTTATTGGCAGTAGTTCATTAGTGACAGACAGACATTTTCAAGTTTGGATTGTGATGTATATTTTTTAGAATGTAAAAAATAAAGTAGTAGGTTTTTTTAATACTTTATTAACAATTTATCTTAAAATTAAATTTTAAAACTAAAAATTACAAGATTATAAAAAAATCATTTAATTAATAAAAAAATCATATAAAAGTATTTTATAATGTATAAATCAATTTTATAAATATTATTTTATTTTTTAAAAATTTTTAAATTTTGAAAAAAATTTGTATTTTGTATTAAATTTTGATAAATTTATTTATGTAATTAAAAGATTAATTAAGCAACTTAAAATTTAATGAAAATTATTTTTTAATTAATTTTGTTTATATTTTACAATTGATGAATTAAAATTATTATAAATAATTTATTTGTTTATTTATTATAATTTAACTAAACCAATATATTTTAAAAATTTTTGTTTTGATATAAAATGAACTTTCATAAATTTTAATAATATACTAATAAAAATCTATTAAGTAGATTTGTTTTTTTATTCTTAATAACATATATTTAAATTTTTATTTTATTTTATTAATTATTTATGGAATTATAAATAAAAATACAAATTAAAGATTTGTTCAAAAACTTTTTAAACAAACAGAATTATCAAATTATAATTGAAAAAAATAATAATTTAAAATTTTAATTTTTTATATTATTTACAAAAAAAAATTTATTATTATTAAACTATTTTAATAAAAATTAATCGAACATACAATATATTAATAAATCTTTAAAATATTTTTTAAATTAATTTTTAACTTAATATTAAACTAATTACTTATAATAAAATTTAATAAATAAGTTTTTATTACAAATTAATATTAAATATAAAACTTAATTTATATATAATTTATTATTATAATATTAATAATTTTTATAAGATTACGATTTTCAAAAAAACTCTTTCCTGATCCACTCATATTTAATAAAAACCACCAAATTAGGAAACAAAATTTTTTTCGCAAAACAAAAATTCTAAAGACCTTGAAGGGTCTTCTACATCCTCCAAGGGTCAAGCAAATGAACCTTTACATGTTCTTCTCGATGTCCTAATCACTGATGTAA